TTAGTTATATATAAGGATAGCTTTTAATCATAAATTTTGTTAAGATCTTTGTAGTTAAATATATTTAGATTAGTCGGCTAAACATAAATTATGTACAAGCTTTCTGTCTATAAATAAAGGTATTTAGGTATTTCAAACTAACTCGGTTTGATTTAAGATTTTGTGTGCCAAAATAAAGTTAATAATATTATTTTTTTCTTTTGTCACTGCAGATAAAAACTCCACGTATCTACACTTATGGCATCGATGTGAAGCGTAAAACATCTAAGAGGGAGATTGTGGTGGTTCATGAAGACGCAAGGGCTGATATATAACACAGAGGAACATGGGAAGCTGTTTGGGGAACGATTGAAAACTGTTTTATGATCCGTTTAAAGGTAAAACCAAAAGTATGTATTTTTTATGAGACTAAAAATCTATGAAACGTAATTGTGAATGATTCAGTGCGTTTCTTTTACAGTGCAACAAATGCAATATGGTCTATGTGTGACGTATTGTATACACATACGTAATAGTATTGTTCTAATCCTCTTAATTAAATATTTCATTTTTCAGATGCAAAGATCTGATCTTCAACCCGATGTAAAAGCACATGAAAAAGCTTGACGAGATAAAAAAGCCTTAATTCGAAATGGTAGATTATTGTTTATTTACCAATTCTTTCTTCATAATTGTAGGAACCATAACTATTATGAAAACAATTTCTACATCTAAATACACATTTTAATGAAGAGAGATTTTTTCTAGATACTTAAAACGTTTGTACATTTTTTATTTTTGTATAAATATTGCTTCTATTGACAAGTCGATTTCTCTAATTTATTTATTTAGCTGAATTATAATACCTTTTATTTTGTTTATTTTCATATGTCTTGACTTCATGGTTTGTTTCAGATATTCATCTAAAGAGCCTCATCTAAAGAGTCTGATTCAATCAGCCTGTGTATTGAGAATCTGGAACAAAAAAAAAATTTAAGGTGAAACAATTTAAAAGGTATGTTTGTTTCAAATATTTTTTATTTACATAAAAACGTTACAAATATTTTTTATTTACATAAAAACGTTACTAATATCTATTTTTTTACTTGAATAAGCAGATATATAAGATTGACTATGAAACATGATTATGTCACCTACTGGGAATTGAAGATTAAGATGGAAAGTTATGCTAATTTCATGCTCATATATATATATGAGTATTATCGTTTCTCTAATACATTATAAACAACACCTAAATTTATAAAGTTGTTTTCTTTTACAAGTCAACAGATCACTATAAACACGAGGAAACAAAGATACATCTATGATTCATGGATCAAGTAATATTGAAGAACTCATTGACAGCGTAAGTCTTAACTTTTGATTTATTTTTGGTGAAGTAAAAAAACACCAAAAATTTAAATCATATAATTTTAATTCTAAATTAAAAACTGTAAAAGCTAACATTAGCATATATAAAAATAAAATTTTGGAAACAGAAACTTTCGGAAACTCCAAGAAACGTCACGTTTGGAAACACGATGGAAACTCACGTTTCTGTCTTGGAAACATGACAAATTTTTTTTTTTTACTTTGGAAACTTAATAAATAAATAGCATGGAAATATTAAGATTTATAATACATATAAATAATTATGGGAGACTCGAGTTTTAAGATCTTTTTTTCGACGAACAAGATTTGGAGATAGTTTTATATAATCTTTGATTAACTAATGAAAATGTTTGTCTAAATATTTGAACTTGAGCCTTTTAATCTTAATTTTTTGGAATTTATTAAATAATTTATGTTTTGGATTTGTGTTGTTTAAAACATATTTTCATTTATATTTGGTGTTATATATATATATATGTGTATATACGTTTCGAAAACGTTTCCATTCTTTAATTTTAGAAAAAACCCGTTTCCCGTTTCTGAAACGTTTCGTTTTCGTGTTTCCGTTTCCATGAAACATAGTATACAATTTTATTACATACAAAAAAATTTACATGTGCTGTAGCATAAAATATACTTTTTTTTTCAAACCATGAAACTAGGCCAAACAAACCCAAATATAGCCCACTAAAAAACTTAGACCCAATACAACAATTTTTTTTTTATTCTATAATTATCAATACCTACTTAAACCAAATAAATTGTGCGGGATCATAAAAAAAAATACAAATCTAATGTAGCTAAATATATTAAATTCTAAAATACTATATTCTCTCCTTATTTATTACCAAGTCATGTTTTCAACCAAATTAAGATTCAATAAAATTATAAAATTGCGGGATCATTTTTCCCGCCAAAAAATATTTTGTATTTTGTGGACCTAATTTTGTTATATTTTCTTATATATTTGTTATATCTTTTATTAAAAGAAGGGTAATTTAGTCATTTTGTACATAAAATAGGTATTTTAAAAAATGGACAGCCAAATGGGGCATTTTTGAAAAGGGGTATTGAAAAATGGGCATTTTTGTGAGTCTCCCTTTATGATTTAGTAGAAAATAGTAAAATATGATTTAGTAGATCCTCATTCCTTAAAACAATATTGATTTTAGTTACAGTTTTTGGAATCCTATATGATTAGCTTCTCTTTTTTTTTATCAACGTTAGCATTAATTATAATTTTTAAATAGCAATTAGCAAATGAATGAATATAGGTATGGAAAGATAAATTTTAAGAGATAATTTAGGATCTAAATAGTTGTGTTAGTATCTTTTATTAAATTTTTCAAATTTTTAGAATTAAAGCTAATGGCATTCTTTGTAGATACTTCTTAACTGTAGGATTTATTTCATAAATGTAGTTCAAAAATGTATATATAGAGATTTCACCCCCGCGTGTTAAATTCTAAAATACATAAAATACAATTTTGCCCCGCGGTGTACCACAATTTTTCCCGCCAAAACACGTGTTAAATACTATAATTCCTATAATAAAATTAACCAAATATGATAAAGAAAATAAATCTGAAATTAATTACATAGTATTATTTACTTCTACAAACAAAATATACAATTATCGTTAAATAAATAATACACAACATAATATCCAAATAGTAATAAATATAAAATAATATGATATATTCTATTTTATATTATACTATTACACTATATTATTTCTTACATAATTCAAATAAAATGAACAATTTAATTCATAAAATAATTAAAATCCCGTGTTGTATAGCACGGGTACTTATCTAGTTAGTAAGATATTACAGAACTAATTCGTCAGTCCGACATGTCACTTTTGTTAATCACCTAGGACTTCCATAGCCTAAGCTTATATAGCTTCATTTAATAGCTTTTCTATCCCTATTATGGTTTCAATTATCGAATGTAACTAATTTATGATCATTAATTTAATTAATTAAAAAAAATTATCAGTTAACGCTCACGTAATGTGCTCCACAATCAAACCGAACATGATCTACTCCCAAAAATAACTCCTAGTAAGTTTTTCTAAATTACGAGGAAGTTTTAATAAACTCATTCACGATCATGTTGGGATCTGATGTTGTTCCTCAACTTTTCTTCCTAATACTCACTCTCACCCTTCCCTTCTCCGCCGCATATCACGTCGGTGTAAACTACGGCACGGTGGCCAACAACCTCCCACCGCCTCACCAAGTCGTCAACTTCATCAAAACAAAAACAAACATCAACCACGTCAAAATCTTCGACACAAACCCCGACATCCTCGCCGCATTTTCCGGCAGCACTGAAATCTCTCTCACCGTCACAATCCCAAACTCCGACATCCTTTCCCTCTCCAAGCTTCCCAACGCACGTTCATGGCTCTCCAACCACCTCCTCCCTTTCCTCCCAACAACCTCAATCAGTTACATTGCTGTCGGAAACGAAGTCATCGCCACATCCGACAAAACACTCATCACTCATCTTCTTCCCGCCATGGAATCGCTTACGTTAGCATTACACCTTGCTAACGTCACTGGTATCTTAGTCTCGACGCCTCACTCGCTAGGTATCCTCTCGGGCTCTTCGGAGCCTCCTAGCTCCGGAAAGTTCCGTAATGGCTACGACAAAGCCATCTTCACTCCAATCCTTGACTTCCACAACCGCACTAAGTCTCCTTTCATGGTTAACCCGTACCCATATTTCGGTTCCGGACCCGAAACACTAAACTACGCACTCTTTAACTCCAACGACTACGTTTTCGTTGACCCGGTTACGAAGATGAACTACACCAACATGTTTGACGCTCAGCTTGATGCGGTATACTCCGCAATGAAACGAATCGGTTACGGTGACGTGGACATCGTCGTGGCTGAGACCGGTTGGCCCTCGGCTGGTGAACCGAACCAGACTGGCGTCGGTTTAGATTATGCGGCAGCTTACAATGGGAATCTTATAAAGCATGTGAATTCTGGTAAGGGCACTCCACTGATGCCAAACCGGGTTTTCGAGACTTACATTTTTTCTCTCTTCAACGAAAATCTCAAATCTTCGGTTTCTGAGCAAAACTTCGGTTTGTTTAAACCAGACTTCACCCAGGTTTATGATGTCGGTATCATGAAAACAAATAAGGTATGCTTAGATTAGGGCTTTATTTTTTTTAATCAATTTCGAGATGTTTAACAATACTTATACAGTATTCTCCTATGTATAAAACGATGAAATGGTATTTTTGGTAACAGGAGCTGCACAAATTTATGAGAATGCTGTGTTAGCGGCACAAAGAAGAAGCTCTCAAGCTTGTGGAGAGTTGTCTCATTTGATAATGATACATATGCCACCGAGGTACAAATTACTGTTCAATTTGTATTTGAATTATTGTTTTATTGGTTTATGCAATTTAGCACTATATATGTAATGTATTATTTAGGTATGAGAATGAGATGCACGAAAGTGAAGTTTACGAAGAAAGATTAACGAACAATAAATTAAGCAAGCTGGTAAGAAGCTAGCTCTGCTTGTTAAAGAAATGTTTAATAATCTAAATTGAAAATGAAGAGATTATATAGAAAAGGTTAATTTGTTTGTAATTTGTATATTTATGTTCTCATAGTAGAATGTGTTGCTCGTGAACTATTCAAAAAAAAAAAAAAAAATCACATTTTCCTCTTATCTTCGCTTTTTTTTTTCAACCTCTTATTTTCGCTTTTATATGTTAGGTTTTTCTTGATCCCAATGATAGCCCAAGTGTATTCATCGATGATATTTTTTTCCCATTCACCCTATAATTTTCGCGGTCGATGCCATCGGTGTTGTCTCCGGTGATCTTCCGCTTCGAGTACTTACCACCATCAATCTTCGTCTCGGAGGTCTGAGTTCTTGTCGAAAAGTAATACCACTCGTCTTTCTTGAAAAAAGAAGTAGCAACCATGACTCCATGGCATAAACATCCTTCATCACTATGAAGTCTCCGCAGTCTTCACCTCTTAGCTTCCGTTTAAGATAATCGTTGATGACTTCTTGGTTCGTTGGATCAAAGTGAATTTCTTCGTCTTCTTCGCAATATTCCATCTACGTCTTTATGGTTCTCAAGAATTAAGGATTCTGCTGAGCAGAGAGATAAACGTTTTTTTGTTTGTTTAGTGATTTTAAATTATGAAGAGAGATTAGTGATTGTGTGTATATATTGGTTATGTCCTAATTACAACATAGATTGGATTCCTAATTTTTTTATTTTTTTCGCAAAAAAGAAATCTACAATACAATATGACAAATTTAAATATTAAAAATTAACTTAAAATATGTTATTGTCTTTATGCATATTTTACTAAAGTTAAATCTAAGATAATAGATTTACGGTGATTGTGAAGATGATTTAACAAATTATACAACATCCAAATAGATTATGTGAATAAAAGAAGTGAGCATATTTGTAAATTGAATTTTAAGTTGTGAATAGTTTGTACAAAAAATCTTTACAAATTAATACTCGATAAATTCATAAATTTTTCCGGTCTCGAGTCGGACCAGTGTAATATTTAACATAATTCGATAAAAATAATAAAATAATAATTTGTTTGAAAATCCAATGTAACTATATGTTCTCATCAATATCATAAATTAATAATTGTATAAACTTATCAATATATATATAATATATATATATGTAGAATATTGATTTCTTTTTTTTTTTTTTAAAGTGTCTTTTCAGATTGACATTTTTTAAGAATTACAAAATTAGCTAGAAGAAATGTACATAATTTAATAATTATTCATTTAACGATAAATTATTATCTCTATAAATTAATAGAATTTTACGGTCTGATTCTATTAATTTATAAAAATTTTAATTTATTTTGATAAAATTGAATTTTACTTAATTGTATATAGAAAATCTCGTTTCCATACATAAGTATAAGTTACAATAATATTTTGAATTGACACTTAAAATGATTATGAAAGAAGAAAGGCCGTAGGCCATTGTTTCAAATCCTATTACTAAGGCACGACCATTGTTATATAATAAACTTCAGCAAAAGTATACAAGACCTCCAAAAACTTGAATTCTTAATTTTCAATCATTTACAGGGTTTAATAAACTTCCATAGCTTAAGCTTATATAGCTTTAATTTTTTATATTAAAAAGGTGGCTTTTTCTATACCTATTATGGTTTCAATTATCAGATTTAGTCGATTTATTATCACTAATTCAATTAACAAAAATTCACTAAAATCAGCCACTCGCTCACGTATAGATGAATCAAGTAGTCATGTTCCACAATCAAACCGACAATGATCTGCTCCCAATAATAACTCATAGTAAGTTTTGCCAAACGTAGAACTGTAGAAGTTGTAACTTTAATAAACTCATACACGATCATGATGAGAACTCAAGTTGTTCATCTACATCTCTTCCTTCCCTTCTCTGCCCCATATCACGTCGGCGTAAACTACGTGAACCTTATAAAGCATGTGAATTCCGGTAAGGGCACTCCATTGATTCCAAACCGGGTTTTCGGGTATCATTAAAACAAATAAGGTACGCTTAGATTAGACATTAGAGCTCAATTTTTGTAATCAAGTATCAAAATGTTTAGCAATATTACACAGTATTCTCCTATGTATAAAAAACCAAATGGATACATCGACAATTTGGAATTGCTCAATGTAATATCGATATGGTATGATTTTTTTGTAGACTCCATTGAAATACAAATCAATATCAGAACTGGATTTAGTCAAAATAATTTCACAATACAAGAGTTGATGTTCTAAAAAACAGTATCAGAGTAACCTGAACAACTAACAACCAGTTTATTCTGGTTTCGGACTCATAAACCATACCAAAACCAAACAGAAAAAGCAGACTATCAGTCTTGGGTTGGTGCGTTCTGATTGAGCTCGGCAAACCGCATACCAACACGCATCGTGTGCTTAAGGAACTTCTCAGCACACCGCATAACACAAGTCTCCTCTTGTTTCTGCAGAGATTTGCGTGTGAAGCTATCAACACAGTCCACAAAACACCTCTCCACCAATGAATTGTACATCTTCAAGCTGAAAAAAAACCCCCACAAAGTAGCAAAAGTTAAGGCCTAAACACACAACAACTTTTGAAGAAAGAAAAAAACTAACCAATATACTCTTATCTTCAATGTAAGACAACACAATTAAAACTTAAAGAAAAAGTTTGAGACTCTTGATTCTATGAAATCCAAACACCAAAATAGATAATTTCACTAACTCTAATTCAAAGTTTTTATCAATGAACCATAAGAACCCACGAACGATAAATTAACGATCCAAAGATCTTTCGAACCTCGTATACACTAACCTTGATTCAGAATTCCTGAGCAAATCTAATAAAGAGTGAGACTTTTCCTTAAAATAGATTTCAATACATGATAATTTCCCCAAATCTTCAAGGAGCTAAACGTCAAATTTTTTGAGACAATCCTAGATAAAAAAACAGAGGAACCGATCTAAGTCACGAACCTGTCGCGTAGCTGAAGCTGATCGATCATGGAGGCCATTGTGGCTTTGTCTTCTTCAGGAAGACCATCAAGTCCAGCCATCATGCTCGCGTCCATTTTTTCGCAACTCTTATTTTCTTTCTTCGACTACAGATTCAATTCTTCATCGCCTCCATGTTCTGCGTCTTAAGACTTAAACCCTAGCGATCTTCTTTACTGGGCCTCATGGGCTTTATTACTTAGATGTTTATGAGGCCTAATGTTTTACTAGTTAGCTTTGTCAAAATATCTATCCTAAAAATTAAAAAACACACAATTTTTAAAAAAAATCGTAGAAAATGTAGATTAAAGAGCCGCTTAGCTTAGTTGAAGAAGAACAACATATTACTACAAATTACATTTTGTTATTTTTTTTTTTAATCCGGAAGCGATAATCCGAAATATTTATCTTGACCGGTTTAATGATGAATTTAGCATGGAATTGACCGGTTTCAAATTTGTGCATATGATTTTGCAGCATACCAAACCGGTTTGTCTTCTTCAGATTGGTAATTAGAAAATAACTTTCTAAATAATCCGGTTTTGTATGCCGCAAAATCATATGCGCAAATTTGACTATAAAACAATAAATTTAATTTGGATTTTTGTTTTGGTTAAGCATCACATAAATTTGATATCTAACGATTAGGAAGTCCTTTTAATAAATCTTTTGAATTACCAATCATAATTTTGATAAATGACATTTGATTGACAGATCCACCCAAACTATAATTTATCGCATGGCTTTATGTCTTTGAATTTGTTTCCAAATGTGATGTAAGGGACACTATTTCATCATCAATGAATTAAAGCTATCAAACAATCAAAACGATCACAATTCTTTTTGTTTTGTTTTGTTTAGAAAGCATTTGATCATCGTTGGATGACACAAAATATAATTTATCGACCACAAAGTTCAAACAATTCGTTTAACTATACAAACTAATATTCAGCAGTGTAAAAACCATAAACTACTTGAATCCTACTAAATCAGATACTCCACTAACCTTATTTTCTTTAAGAAAAACCCGCAATTCTAATTCTATTCTTCTCTAATCCAAAAATATCGTATTGGAGATCAAAATTAACAGACTACAGCTATAAAACTCACATGCAAACGAAAAAACTTTAATGACATTATTATTAAAAACTATACCCCTCGTGGGCACCACTCAAATATAAATTATTTAATTTCAATCAAATAATCTTCTCACCAAAATCTAATCACTACAAGACTAGAAGTGTCCACAAAAGCATCTCTCTTTCTGACACAATGACATCTGTTTTGTCCTGCGCGTGTACTTCAAACTCCAAACCACCGCGGGTCATACAATTCCCAAAGATGTCTCCAATTTTAATTTCGTCCACCAAACTTCACTCACACACCACTCCCTTCTCTCTATCCACTCACTTCCTTCCTCTGTGTTTCTTCTCTTTACCAATCTCATGACCTAACTCAAAAATAATGGCGAACGTAATTTCAATTTCCCATTTTACCCTTCTCGCATTACCTTATTTACTTGTCCTCTTATCCTCCACCGCCGCCGCCATCAACGTCACCGCCGTCCTCTCCTCATTCCCTAACCTCTCATCTTTCTCCAACCTCCTCGTCTCCTCCGGCATCGCCGCTGAGCTTTCCGGTAGAAACTCATTAACCCTCCTCGCCGTTCCCAATTCTCAATTCTCCTCCGCCACCTTGGACCTCACGCGCCGCCTACCTCCTTCCGCCCTCGCAGATCTCCTCCGCTTCCATGTCCTTCTCCAGTTCCTCTCAGATTCCGATCTCCGACGTCTCCCACCGTCAGGCTCCGCAGTTACTACTCTCTACGAAGCTTCCGGTCGTACATTCTTTGGATCTGGATCCGTTAACGTCACCCGTGACCCAGCTTCAGGATCCGTCACGATCGGATCTCCAGCCACCAAAAACGTCACTGTGTTAAAGCTTCTCGAGACCAAACCTCCCAACATAACCGTCCTCACCGTCGACTCCCTCATCGTCCCCACCGGAATCGATATCACTGCCTCGGAGACTCTCACTCCACCGCCGACATCAACATCTCTCTCCCCTCCTCCGGCGGGAATCAACCTCACTCAGATTCTAATCAACGGCCACAACTTCAACGTCGCTCTCTCTCTCCTCGTCGCCTCCGGAGTCATAACAGAATTCGAAAACGACGAACGTGGCGCCGGAATCACCGTCTTCGTCCCCACCGACTCCGCCTTCTCCGATCTCCCGTCCAATGTCAACCTCCAGTCTTTACCGGCGGCGCAAAAAGCCTTCGTGTTGAAATTCCATGTGCTACATTCATACTACACACTCGGTTCGCTAGAATCAATAACCAACCCGGTTCAACCGACATTAGCCACTGAAGAAATGGGAGCCGGTTCTTACACTCTCAACATCTCCCGGGTTAACGGGTCAATCGTAACGATCAATTCGGGTGTGGTTTTAGCTGTTGTGACTCAAACGGCTTTTGATCAAAACCCGGTTTCTGTTTTCGGAGTATCCAAAGTTCTTTTGCCTAAAGAACTGTTTCCAAAGTCGGGTCAACCCGTTGCAACAGCTCCTCCACATGAGATATCTTTGTCGCCGGAGAGTTCTGATGAACAGCCGTCGAGATTAGTATCGCCTCCGCGTGAGATAGTTTCTTCCGGCGCGGTTAAAACAACACTTGGTTTCTTGGCCTTGTGGTGTTGGTGTATAGCATTTTGTTATGTTTTGGTATGATTTTTTTTCTTTTTTATCACATAATGTTTTGCCTTCGATTAGGGCTTTATTTATTTTTACTGGATTTTTTCCACAAGGGTTTATATTTATTTTACGTCATAATGTTATTTTTATTCCAGTCGAGGTAAAAACAAATTCACTTTCCCATGTAAATTTGAATTGGTTGGGCGATTTTGGGTAAATCCCATGTCTATAAAATCCTTCATTTTCTCTTTTGAAATGAGTAATACGAGTCTCTAGTTTAAATACAAATAGATTTTTAGAAGTTGTGATTTTTTTTCTAAAAGTTTTTGTAATAAGAATGGAATCTAAATGAGTGAATTAGCTCAGCGGAATAATATACAGTGAGTGCGTGACAGTGCAATTGTAGGTCCCACCAAGTTGTCACCGACGGTCCAGATCTGCTATCGCTCAGGTCAATTTCTCGCTAGATTTTCGGGTTGTCCAGAGCCGTCGGATCTTCAAATCTCAGTTTCATCAGCGCGCGTGTGGATGTGTACGGCCAGATCTAACTCTACCTTATTCACTTCACTTTACACTGACTCGGTGAAAGAGAAGAGAGTCATTAATCCCCTGTGGTCACTCACACACTATTACCGTATTAATTACTAAACCGTATTTTTGATTAATCCTTTTTCTTTGTAGATTGTTGATCTTGAAACGAATTTCTCTATCGAAAGTAGTCAAAATACAAGAATTATTCGTTTTCAAGATATTAAATTTTGGAACTTTTATGTCTTCTTATGAAATTATATAATGATTCAATTGTCAGATCGGTTAGGGAAATTGATGTAGAATTTATGGTAATTGGTGGTACTATAGTGCTTGACTTTTCCAATGTAAACAACGATCATTCAAATTTTCAAACTCGTGGACCTTTTTGGGATCACAGATTTGGACTTTTCTTGATTATATTAAAGTTTTTTTTGTCCCTATATTCAATGACCAATCTAGAATTCATCTGTTTTTGAACTAACCCAACACTAAAAAATAGATTCAAAACATCTCTCATCTTTCTCTCATATGGTTCTTGAGAATACTTTGAAGAAAGATGTCAATGATGAGCAAAAACAGAAGCAGCATCGCCATGGGAACACCATCGTTCCTTGAGTTGAAGAAACAAGCTTCTTTTTTCTTCAAAGAGAAGCTTAAAACGGCGCGTTTAGCTCTCACCGATGTTACTCCTCTTCAACTGTTAGTTTTTTTCTTCTTCTTTTATTGTTATGCAAACAAATTATAAATTTATGTATATGTAAATATGATTTGAATAATTTGGTATATTTGTTTGAAGAATGACTGAGGAAGCTACGGATGGGGAGTCATGTGGACCAAATACACAAACCTTAGGATCCATTTCAAAGGCTGCTTTCGAGTTTGAAGATTACTTGGCCATTGTCGAAGTCTTGCACAAAAGGTTACATAACTTGTGATTAATCGATACATTTTACTTAAACAAGGCATGCTATGTATTCTGTTACTGAGATATGGAGCATTTGTTGTTATTGTTGTTTGGTGTAAATAAGATTGGCAAGGTTTGATAAGAGAAACTGGCGGATGGCTTATAACTCACTCATAGTTATTGAACATTTGCTCACTCATGGACCAGAGAGTGTTTCCGATGAGTTTCAAGGCGATAGAGATGTTATCTTCCAAATGCAGACTTTCCAACAGATCGACGAGAAAGGGTAATGGTTTTAGCGTTTTAAGGCGGATCATGTTTGGTATGAACAGAGTTTCAATGTTCTTAGACTATAAGTTTTGTTTGTTGGTAGGTTTAATTGGGGATTAGCTGTTAGAAAGAAAGCAGAGAAGGTTTTGAAGCTACTTGAGAAAGGGGAATTGCTTAAGGAAGAGAGGAAGCGAGCTCGTGAGCTGTCTCGAGGGATTCAAGGTTTTGGTAGCTTTAACCACAAGTCTTCATCTCATTCTTTGTCAGAGGATGAAGTCGTACAAGAGTCTACAGTCTATAGGAAATGCAATTCCAACTTTACCAAGAAGCACAATGAGGATGACCAAGAGAACACTATGGTTTCCCCTAATGACGCCGACAACTTTCCTCAGCCACTGGTAACTGACCCGAGTGAGGAATCTAGGACGAGTATGAAAGAAAATATGGATCCTGAAGATGATGAGAACACAGAGGTAAACCCACTTTTGGGTTCTCTTAAAAAGGAGGGTCAAGAACTAGCCGGAGAAGACGAGAACCATCCATTTACGGATGGCGAGAGTAAGCATACAGTAGTCTCATTGCTTGATGAGAATACAGTCTGAAATTTTTAAAATGAAATCGCGGTCTGTAAAAGAGAAAAAACTCAAGAAGAAGATAATGTGTGTATACGAATATGTATACATATATATAATAATAACACTTCTGTTAATGACTAATCTGTTTTCAACTTGCTTTGTTGCAAAATAGAGATTAAAATGAACAATGAAGGAAGAATAAAAGAACACACATAGAGAAGATTTAAGTAACTATTGCAATTGGCTAAAGAATGAAAACAATGATATCAAAGTTGTTACTGCACTTGTTTTACTTGGTATTTTGATCAGTAGTACTCCCTGTGGAAGATCCATATCCGTCATACTTGGCTTTCGCAATTCACATCTGCAAATTTGGAACACACAATTTGTAACAATTTATCACATAGTTTATCACAATTTATCACATAGCTTCACTTGTTCATGGGATGTTTAGATGTGTTGCAGATAGAAGAAGAGGCCATGCCCAATTTGATACAGCTGAAACTACTTTCCAAGAGAGTAGAAACAAAGCTTATTATTCCAAACCGATTACTAGCGGTTATGAGCTACAAGAAACTGGGAAACATGTGAACAAGGCCTTAGGATTTATATGTCTTTGGATAGTCATTTTATCCTAGATGTCTTATCATATAAAATCTGCTACCTAATTTCACAGAGTGTGTAGATTTTTTAAAGCTTTTAAATCAGTACCAATTTACACACCACTTGTTAACATTTACTGCTGCAAAGAGAGTCACAGCCACGTAGACGCAGGTCGTCACAAGACGAGAAAAGAACTTCATGAACTAGTAGTAGAGATCATTAAATTGTATAGAAAATTTACAAACTACGTACATGTTGTTTTGTGCAATTGATAAAAAACAATTTTAAGATTGAATTTCTGCATCAGAGAAAACAATTTGTAGCATCTTTTGTTTGTCTTTGGCTACATATACTAACAAGATAAAACAGAAGCATGTGCTGAATAGAGTCAACAAAATAAATACTGTATATTGATGAATAGAATCATATCTTTTATACGATAAAAGAGTTAAATGAAATCGAGGTCAAAGCTTGAAAAAAATAAGCAGAGACAAAGAGGAAACTCAGAAGAAGATAATGCGTGTACACCAATATGTATACATATAATATAATAATAACATTCTGTTAATGACTGATCTGTGTTTTTTTTTAACTTGTTTTGTTGCAAAAGAGAGATTAAAATGAACAATGAGGGAGAAGGATAAAATAACACAACTATAGAAGTTGTAAGTACTTATAGCAACTGGCTTCAGGGTGAAAAACTGATCTCAAAATTTTTACCGCACTTGTTTTACTTGGTGATATTTGATTAGAAGCACTTCCTGTGGACGATCGACGGTCCAGATTCATCATACTCGGCTTTCGCAATCCACATCTACAAATTTGAAACACATTTTTGTAACGAGTTATACATCAAAACACTCATTGACTATATAATATAAGATTTGTATAAGTATAGTATGTAATTTACCTGCTGGAAAGTACTGAGGGAGGCCAAGATAGAGCCACCAATCCAAACACTGTACTTCCTTTCCGGTGGAGCCACCACTTTGATCTTCATACTGCTTGGAGCCAACGCGGTGATCTCTTTACTCATCCTGTCACCAATCCCGCCGAACATTGTGGTTCCACCACTAAGCACAATGTTTCCATAAAGATCCTTCCTGATATCCACATCACATTTCATGATTGAATTGTAAGTAGTTTCATGGATTCCCGGATTTTCCATTCCGATCATCGATGGTTGGAACAGGACTTCAGGGCACCGGAAACGCTCTGCCCCGATGGTTATCACTTGACCGTCTGGCAGCTCGAAGCTCTTCTCGACAGATGAGCTTGTTTTGGAAGTCTCAAGCTCTTGCTCGTAGTCCAAGGCAATGTAAGAGAGCTTCTCCTTCATGTCTCTAACAATTTCACGCTCAGCAGTTGTGGTGAAAGAGTAACCACGCTCTGTCAGGATTTTCATCAGGTGGTCGGTTAGATCACGACCCGCAAGATCAAGACGCAGGATTGCGTGTGGAAGTGCATAACCCTCGTAGATTGGTACCGTGTGGCTCACACCATCTCCAGAGTCCAAAACAATACCTAACCAACAAAATAACAATAATGAGAGCAAAATCGAATCGAACCAAACCGAATTTTATTTAAACCCAAACGGTAAAAATGAGTGTAGTAATGTACTGACCAGTAGTACGGCCACTGGCATAGAGGGAGAGAACAGCTTGAATGGCAACATACATAGCAGGAGTGTTAAATGTTTCAAACATGATCTGTGTCATCTTCTCACGGTTAGCCTTTGGATTGAGCGGCGCTTCGGTTAGCAGAACCGGATGTTCTTCCGGGGCAACACGCAGCTCGTTGTAGAAAGTGTGATGCCAAATCTTCTCCATATCATCCCAATTGTTAACAATACCATGTTCAATTGGATACTTGAGAGTCAAGATACCACGTTTCGACTGTGCTTCGTCTCCAACATATGCATCCTTTTGTCCCATTCCAACCATTACTCCCGTGTGACGCGGACGCCCAACGATACTTGGGAATACAGCTCTTGGAGCATCATCACCTGCAAAACCGGCCTACACAAAGATAGTTGAATTACTCAACTTATGGCACATAATAACATTCACAAATCTTGTTAATGTAAATCATCTAGAGAAGCTTTTTAATTACCTTGACCATTCCAGTACCGTTATCGCATACGAGCGGCTGAATATCTTCACCGTCCGCCATTTTTCAATCTCTAGCTGATTACATCAACAGAAGAAACAGAGCAATTATGCGTCCAAATTCAAAGGAATCAGATAAAAACACTAATGGTTAATGCCAAATATCATAACTAAATCTAAAACATTAATATGTAACCATTAAATCTAATTCGTTACGTATACCAAAATCTAACACATTAGCGTTACATTTTATTTTGGTTTTGACTTCTTCAAGATAATCAAAGTTTTGACAACAAATAAACAAAGAAAATATTATCTACCTGATGAATTTACGTAGGAGAAGAAGAAGAAGAGAAAAGAGGCTTCACGAGTCTGAAACACCTCGGCCTGAAATTGGTTTTCAAAAATTTCTGGAAAACAGAAGCAACTTTGGCCCTTAATATGGTTCATACACGGATCTGAGCCGTTAGTTTTCTTCCTTGAGACCAATATCTCAGCCTCTACCGACACGTGTCTATCTATTTTGGGGTTGGAGAATTAAGAGAACACCAGCCTGACCTGAAAGTACGGTTTCAGGCTCTGTTTTTACCGGAAGAATCGGGTCACCGAACAAGCATGAGTGATGATGAGCCCATTTGGGCCTTGGAAAAAAAGTTAACAGGCCATCGCTTTGAATTTTGTGATGCAAGGAATACCATACCTCTTAGTTTGTTTTGTAATTTACAAGTATATCAAAACAATTACTAAATTCCATTTTCTTTAGATTTTATTAAATTTTAGACATACAATGAAACAAACAAGATTATAAACCTGAATGATATATTATTTATTTTCAATTAAATCTCTTTCTAGTAATTTAATACTCTCTAGGTTCTCTGAAACATCCTATAAAAGGAAACTGAGGGAGTATTTCTTCTGAAATTTCAGTGCTCTTCTAAAAGAGTGCTAACCAAACTATAATTAAAAAAAAAAAAAGAGAATAAAAGATCTTAGTGGGTGAGGTATGGGAAATTGCTGAAAAAGTTTTGGGAAGAATGAGTGTAATGATGATAGCAGTAATTGACAAATGTGATAATGATGATGGGGATATGGGGAAGTAAAATAATTAAGCATGTGCATGAGATTTAATTATTTGACATGAGACTTTTTTTTTTTTTTTTTTGATAATTAAGTAAACCAAATGGGAAGCATTTGTTTTTTCTTTTTCTAAACCATATCTCAATATTCAAATCTGATATACAAATTCCATTTTATTTTTAAATAAGTGGATCCTAAACCACAAAAATCTACTTTTGATTGTCTCTTTCCACTCTTTTCTCAATTAAACCTTCTCATTACGGCCAATAAACTTTTCTTCTTATGTTTTCTCACTTCTAACCATCTTGTTCTCTTTATTTAGTCTCATTATTTGAATGACAAACACCCACCATTTGCATATTCACTAGAAACCTTCAAACTTTCTATGAAAGTTATAATATAAGATCCCATTGGCAGAACCGGCTCTAAGGTTTCGGAGGTCACAAGCAAATAAAAAAGAATGGATTGTACTTTTGTATACTAGATTTGTGACCCCGCGCAATGCGCGGGATTTTACTTATAAACTATTAACAATATAAGACGTGAATATAAATATATATATTGAATTTTAAAAGATAAATCTATAATGACATAAACCTATTTAATTATGAATGATATATAACATAGATTTTATTGAGAATAATGTTTCTCTTGAAAAAAACCAACAAATTTTTAGGTAACACGTGGTAAAAAATTAGTTGAAAAAATTCAGAGAAATATAATACAATCTCGACCATGTCATGTTCATACATCTTTTTGAATTTAGTCAATTTCTCTTGAAATTATTTCGCTGTCATTTTATTCGTCATATTCTAATATGCAGTCGTCCACCTCGCGACATTTTATCTCTTTTCACGTTCTTTTCGTTAAAATAATTGATTAAATTTTTGATTCATTATAAACTTATATTAAAATTATATTCTCTTTATCTATTTCATTTTTATATTTTATTTTTTCTTGTCTATTATAAAATGTTCTTTTTCCTACATATTAAATTTTATATTTGGATTCTTCCTATTCTCATACATTGCATTTTCCATGAAACATTGCACTCTAACGTTATTGTTTAAAGAAATCTTGTATCTAATTGTACTTTTAAATCACAATTCTTTCCTTAAATATATTATACAATTTTATATATATTTTATCTTGATTTTGGATACATACTTTTTTCTTGAAAAATAGATATTCTTATTTCGTGTAATCTAAATTCTATAGTTTACTATCATATAAACTTTTTTAATCTAAATATTTTATAACTCTTGAAAAGGTTAATGTCTTTCTAGCGTGATAACATATTTTTTTGTTTTCTACTTCTCATATATAAATTATATGTATTTGAAAATTATCTATATGCTTCTAATTTTTATTCATATTGTTATCTTATATATTTTTGTGCTGTGTTTTATTAATTCATTAACTTCTATTTTTGAATTATCTATTTGT